TGGGCTGTAGCCCAGCCATGGAAATCAGGAATTTATCTTCAGCAGGTAGGAGAAAAGAGATGAGATCAGTTGGACTTTTGTTTTTGTCTGTATAAGCAGTACTGAGAACTTGAATTGGACTGATGATTATGGGGATGAAAAGAGGGTAGTGACAAAGAATTTTTCAGAACCTGAAATGGAGAACAGAAGAAGCAAGAAAATCATTTAACACCAGGGTTTCTACATGAGTGAGTTGTGTAGGCTAGGATTAGCAACCTGTTTTTATCACCAATATTGGAGGCATTGAAAAAAGTTTTAGTTAGAGTTGAAATGATGTCTTAGAGATGTTGATGTCTGAGGTACCACCAATGGAGCACAACATTGAGGTATGATAGGAGTTTGGGAACAGAGCCACAGTGATGTAGGTTTGGGAGTCATGTGCACAGAAGTGATATGTGAAATCTCCAGAGGTAGAGAAGTAAAGGAAACAATCACGGGAGGAATGATTAGATGTGGAGGAGCAAGGATAGGGAGTTAAGTTGTAGCAATAAGAAAAAAAAAAATCAGGCCAGGCCTGGTGGGGCATGCCTGTAATCCCAGCAGCTCAGAGGCAGGAAGATCACAAGTTCATACCCAGCCTCTGAAACTTAATGAGTCCCTATCTATCTCATAAATAAATAAATAGGGCTGGGGATGTGGCTCAGTGGTAGTGGTAAAGTACCCCTGAGTTAAATCCTCGGGGGGGGGGATTTTTAATGGTAGGTCATTTGATAACTTTTTAAGTGTTAATAGAAGTTTAGACAGAAGGCAGATTTGAAGAATTTAAGCGAAGCGAGTATATATCTTTTCTTTGAAACAAGTCATAAAGAGCAAGGTAACTAAAAAAAAGCATGAATGTAGTTTTAAAATAGGAGCAGAAGCTAGGGGAATACCTCAGTATGCATGTGCAAGAGTGCCCTGCACATTATTATAAACTAAGTACAGGGAAACAGTAGAGAGGAAGAGATTGGGGATGGGGTAGGTGGCCATAGGTGAGAAAACAATAAAGTATTGGAGGACCTGATGTTGGGTGGGCCTAGATAGGAGAGAATGTGTAGTTAGTGATAACTATCATTTATTGATTGACTTCTGTGATGCCAGACCCCAGGAGAAATGCTTGCTTTAGTCTTCATAACCCTTTTAATAGAGAATGCTATGTAAGGAGGGGTAGGATATGGGCCCATGAGAGTCAGTGAGCTGGTTGCTCCTGTTAATTAGGATTTATGGAAATTACTTGGGCCACTGCACATAGCCCTTACTTTTCTTAGACACTCATTTAAAAATTATTTTGCACTTGAGTGGGAAATGTATGGCAGTATTTTGTTTTCTCATGCTGAAGTGCTCTACCAGTGAACTACATTCTCAGCCCTCTTTAAATCCTGGGACAGGGTCTCACTAAATTGCCCTGATTGGCTTTGCACTTACAATATTCCTACCTCAGCTTCTGGTGTATGCCCCCATGCTCAGGTTCACCTGGGTGATCTTGTTTCCTTTGTAAACAGAAACCACTTAATATAATCTGCTCAAGTGCCTCAACTCATTTGGCAATCCTCCTGCTGTAGCCCCCCTCAGTTGTTGAAAATACAGGCATACAGCACTACAAAAAAAAAAAAAGTGGTTTTTTTTTTTTTTTTTTTTTTTGATACTGGGGCTTGAACCCAGAGGTGCTTTACCACTGAACTACATCCCCAGCCACTGCCACCCCCCCATTTTTTTTGGTATTTTATTTGTATTTTAAGACAGGATCTCACCAAGTTGCTTAGGGCCTTGCTAAATTGCTAAGGCTGTCTTCGAACTTGAGATCCTCTTGTCTTAGCCTTCCAGCCCACTGGGATCACAGGAAATTAACCACTGCTCCCAGCTATTTAAAAGTTTTGAACATAAAGTAATTAAGAACTATTACAGAATATATAGTCATTTGCTTACTTTTATAAGTAACTCAAGTAGATAAGTTATAATTGACTTCCTAGAAAAGTAAATCTGTCAGAGCACTGAAGAATTATGTCTGAGACAGAACCTAGTCTACAAAATGACACATCTGTCAGAGAGGACCCAATGTAGTTTCCCTTTCTTTTCTTTTTGGTACTGGGGATTAAACCTAGGGCACTTGGCCACTGAGCCACATCCCCAGCCCTGTTTTGTATTTTATTTAGAGACAGGTTCTTCACTGAGTTGCTTAGTGCCTTACCCCTTGATGAAGCTGGCTATAAATTTGTGATCCTCCTTTCTTAGCCTCCTGAGCTGCTGGGATTAAAGGTGTGCGCCATCTTGCCCAACGTAGTTTTCTTTCTTAAGTTGGCATCATCTGGTATACCTACTGTATTAGAATTATAGCAAAGAGGGGCTGGGGAAGTGGCTCAAGCGATAGTGCGCTCCCCTGGCATGCGTGCGGCTTGGGTTTGATCCTCGGCACCACATACAAACAACGATGTTGTGTCTGCCGAAAAACTAAAAAATAAATATTAAAATTCTCTCTCTCTCTCTCTCTCTCAAAAAAAAAAAAATTACAGCAAAGTGAAAAGTAGTAAAGACACTTCTGTGAAATTTTTTTTCCTAGGATATTAAAAAAAATAGCAAGTTTGGTTTCTCGACATTTGTATTTTTTACTTCGTGTTAACAGCTCCACTTTTATACCATATGACCAGCATCCCCCAGAATCCTAGAACCATAGGTTTTTATTTTGTCCTATAATCACTTTGTAATTTCTGTCTTTCACCAATGATGGTTGAATGGTTTTTACATTGCTCCTGGGCCAAATGTTCTCTATAGAATGTTTGGTTGGTAGAGCCTCTTTTGTTGTTTCCTGACATTTTTACTTTTTGTGTTTTTACATTAGAATGAGATACAGTATTTCCTGGGCTGGGGATATAGCTCAGTTGATAGAGTGCTTGCCTTGCATGCACAAGGCCCTGGTTTGATCTTCAGCACCACAAAACAACAAACAAAAATGAGATAGATTATTTCTTTAATTGAGTGCCTTCTAGGAATGATGCTGTTTAAAGATGGTCATTATTTCTCTTCTTTCTTTCCTTCCTTCCTTCCTTCCTTCCCTCCCTCCCTCCCTCCCTCCCTCCCTCCCTCCCTCCATGCGCTTGAACCCAGGGGTGCCTAACCACTGAGCCACATCCCCAGCCCTTTTTTAATTTTACTTTTTTTTTTTTTTTGGTACCAGGGATTGAACTCAAGGGCACTCAACCACTGAGCCACATCCCCAGCCCTACTTTGTACTTTATTTAGAGACCCCTGTCTCACTGAGTGAGAGTGTGGTGCTAAGGATCAAACCCAGTGCCCCCTCTGAGCCACACCCCAGCCCCTGGCTCTGAGTTCTTGACCCTCCTGTCTCAGCCTCCTGAACCGATGGGATTACGTGTGATGCCATGCCTGGTTTATGTTTCATTTTGTGACAGCGCCTGAGTTGCTTAGGACCTTGCAAAATTGCTGGTGCTGGCTTTGAACTCGCAATCCTCTTGCCTCAGCCTCCTGAGCTCCTGTGATTACAGATGGCTTTTTCTTGAATCAGAAAATTCCTGAGGGGCTGGGGATGTGGCTCAAGCGGTAGCGCGCTCGCCTGGCATGCGTGCGGCCCGGGTTCGATCCTCAGCACCACATACCAACAAAAGATGTTGTGTCCGCCGAGAACTAAAAAATAAATATTAAAAAAAAAAATTCAAAAAAAAAAAAGAAAATTCCTGTTTAATATTTTGCATCCTATAATGTCCCAGTTGATCAGGGCTGGGGGGCGGGGTGGCATACTGGAGATTGAAACCTTGGGTGCTTTACCACTGAGCTGCATTCCCAGCTCCCATCATCCCCTTTAAAAATTTTTATATTTTGATATGGTCTTGCTAAATTGCCCAGACTGACCTCAAACTTGTCATCCTGCTGCCTCAGCCCCCCCAAATAGCTGAGATGACAGGCATGCACCATTGCACCCAGATGGTTGTTTGACTTTGGGCACAAACCAATCTGCTCTGCATTAGCCCTGACCACTTCACTCAATGGTGAAGATATGTTCTAAGGAACATTATGGAGTTCTCTCAGCTTTGAAAAGAGACTCAAAGTTGTACACTACAACTTTGTTCTTTTTCAAGATTATTTGACTATTCTAGGTTCATAACTTTCCAGGTGAATTTTCTGACTGGTTTATCGGTTTCTGCAAAGAAGCCAGCTGATGTTTTGATAGGGATTATGTTGAATCAATGGATTAACTTGGAAGATATTACTGTTTAACAGTGTTGTCTTTCAATTCATGACTTTTTTTTTCATTTATTTAGCTATAGTTACTAATATTTTGTGGTTTTTCAGAGTCTTTAAGTTTTATACTATTTTAGTTAATTTTATTACTATTCTTTCTGAATGATGTTATGAATGAWTTTTTTTATATTTCATTTTCAGATTATTCGTTGTTAGAGTGTTCATTGTTAGAGTATAAAAATACTGATTTTTTTATGTTGATCTTGTATCATAGTGTTGCTGAATTTATATATTCTAAAAAAATTTTAATGGATTTCTTAGGACTTCCATGTATAGGATAATATATATATTTTTGGTACCAGGGATTGAATTTAGGGGTATTCTACCACTGAGCCACACCCTCAGCCCTATTTTGTTGTTTTATTTAGAGACAGGGTCTCACTGAGTTACTTGGGTCCTCAGCCTCCCCAGCTCTGGGATCACAGGTTTGTGCCACTGCACCCTGCTAAGGTCATACCATGCATGAATCAGTTAGTTTTACTTATTCCTTTATAATCTGGTTGCCTTTTATTTCATGTTCATACCTAATTGTCCTAGCCAGAACCTTGTATATTATGTTGGATAGAAGTGGAAGGAATAGACCTCCTTGTTTTGTGTTTAGTCTTTTGGTGCCAAGTGGAACATTGTATTAGAACTTTGTGTATGCAGAGGCTTGTGCCCCATGGCCACAAATATGTGTGCCGTAACTTCTTATGTATTCTAAATAACACCTTTGTTTTGTGTTTAAGCTATGGCTGCCATCAGGAAGAAATTGGTGATTGTTGGTGATGGAGCATGTGGCAAGACATGCTTGCTCATAGTTTTCAGCAAGGACCAGTTCCCAGAAGTATATGTGCCCACAGTGTTTGAGAACTATGTGGCAGATATTGAAGTGGATGGAAAGCAGGTGAGTACACTTCCCATAATATCTGATGTCATTCTGCATATTAGGCTGTTCAAAGAGCCTGTAGAGAATTACACCTTTTTGTGTCTTTAGATACAAGATATATATTAAAAAAAAAAAAATACAAGATATAACAAAAATGTCATCCATTCTCATCATGTCATTTTAGTCCACTTTTTTCTTGTTTTGCCATACTTGGGATTGAACCTAGAGTGTTGATCTCTCTTATTTTCAGACAGGGTCTAACCAAGTTGCCAGAGCTTGCCTCAAACTTGGAATCCTCCTGCCTCAGCCTCCCAGGTCACTAGGAATACAGGTGTGCTTCATCACACCCTACCAACTTCATTCATTTTTAAACTGTTCTTGTCCAGACTTTATACATTTGTGTATATTTTACATTGGGGCAGCCTTAGTATATGATTTCTTTTTAAGTTTATTTATATTTGAAATTTAGTTACAAAATGGATAATAATCAGATGAGCATTTTTGCATGGATAGACTGTTTTTGTTCTGTCTGTATTTCATCAAATGCCCAAGTATGAGGACTTGGGATATAGCTTAGTTGGTAGAGTGCATGTATTGTATGTACAAGGATTTCAGTTCAGTCCCCAGCAACACACATAGACACACGTCCAAGTAGGAAATTACTACTTTTCAAGAGGTCCTTATTAATTGTGCTTCTCAGTGGGTTGTGACATTTAAAAAACATCCAAGTTTATTTATTTAACAGTACTAGGCATTAAACCCAAGACCTCACACCTACTAGGCAAGCTCTCTGCCAGTGAGAGAGCTTTTTTAAATTTTTTTAATATTTTAAGACAGTCTTGCTAAATTGCCCAAGCAGCCTCAGACTTGTGACACTCCTGCCTCAGCCTCCCAAGTAGCTGGATTAGAGGTGTATGCCACCACATGCAGCATTTTTTGTTTTGTTTCTTGACTTTAACATAAAAGAGCCTGCTACAGTTGTTTTGATTTCCAGTCATTGATAACAAGGCCAGTGTTCCCCATGTCTGACCTAGAAGCCCTATAACAAGAGTAGGACATAGGTCTTATGGAATTCATCTTCTACTCCTTCTTATTGTCAAAATAATTTACCTGACCTCCTATACAGCTAAAGAAGTGGATGAATCCACTCCACTCCAAAAAACATGGATAATTACATTAATGGGATGGGGGAGGTTACCAAGAAACTAAAGAAATAGCACAAGCAAAACCAAATTATAATCACATTCAACAAGCACTTCCTGCTGGATTATGATGTTTTAATCTGAGACTGGGCATAGACTTCAGTTTATTGTGACTCCCAGGTTTTCAGTTCATTCTGATGATTCATCCTGACTCTTTGAAGCAATCAGGACTGCTCTGCATGTATTTGTGAATCCCTTACAGCTTTAACACACATGTAAGTGCACTTGAGGGATCTTTGTTTCCAACTTCCTTCCAAGCATCTGCCCTTTACAGTGGTTTGTCCCAACACTCCATCTATGAAGCAGTTTGAACCATAGGAGCAAATCAGACTTGTTCAGACTTCTACTGTGCCATTTTCCCAGTTTGCTTCCAGCAATGACCTTGGGAGACTTGAAGACTTCTGCTGCCGGTGATCAGGAATCAGGTCCACACTGAAAGCACTGCATGTCCTGCCCTGGCCCCAACTCTGTTTCTTATATGCTTCTACCATGATGCTCAACTATCTTATTCCGTGATCTGTAAGATTCTTAACCACCAAGGTCATTATCATCCATTGTTACTGTTTCTCACTGTGGTTTAATAAATGTACTAGATAAATGTTTTGGGCTAAGGAACTAAATAGGAAGGGGGAAAAAAAATCTAAGTTGAAAGGTTATGAGACAAGGAGATGGAGTGAAGGTCAATGAATGTAACACAAGATGAAAATTGAAATCTGCTGAATGACTATAGCCCTTAAAACTAAAAGCATTTTTTTCCCCTATAAATGCATTTGGAAGGAGGTTCCCAGTCCATTCCCAACCCATTAACTATTATGTCTATTTCTAAATAAAATGATGTTGCTTCTTTATCTGTATTCAGTAAACAGAACAAGTCTGCCTGGACCATCCATTTCTACTCTAGCTGCAAATAAAGGCCATTCCTGGGGCCAAGAAAGGGCCTGCTTTTTTTTTTTTTTTCCCTTTTTTTTAATATTCATTTTTTAGTTTTCGGTGGACACAACATCTTTGTATGTGGTGCTGAGGATCGAACCCGGGCCGCACGCACGCCAGGCGAGCGCTATACCGCTTGAGCCACATCCCCAGCCCTGGACACAATATCTTTTTTTTTTTAGAGAGAGGAGAGAGAGAGAATTTTTTTTTTAATATTTATTATTTAGTTCTCGGCGGACACAACATCTTTGTTGGTATGTGGTGCTGAGGCTCGAACCCGGGCCGCACGCATGCCAGGCGAGCGTGCTACCGCTGAGCCACATCTCCAGCCCCTGGACACAATATCTTTACCTTATTTCTATGTGGTGCTGAGGATTGAACCCAGTGCCTCATGCATTCTAGGTGAGCACTATACCACTGAGCCACAACCCCAGCCCAAGAAAATGGCATTTTTAAGGGATTCTACTAAGCAAGAAGCAGGCTACCAAGTCAAGCAAGACTAACCAGACATCTGCAATAGTCATAATCATGCCTGAGCCAGGCAATTACAGGAGTTGGGCAAGAGGAGGGAAGGCTCACAGAACTTCCATTCCTGGGCTTCACCAGAGATTCCTGCTCTCAGAAACAGGCTGAAAATGTTTGCTTGAGTGTCAGTATCATTCCAGCATGAAGTAGACAGGTGAGCAGCGATAGGAGGTGAAAGGGGCCTCCCTACCCCTCATGAGTCCCTTGTCTGAGAAGGTTCCTCTTTACTCTCTGAGGGTGGTGGGGCTCCAAAGATTCTGGCAAGGAGCCCTCAGTTGGAGTGGAGCTGGTCCTGGGCTGTAGCCCAGCAAGCCGTTTTGCGCCCTCCTGGACGAGCTGCTTTCTGAACCTTTAGCTCCTGTGCCATAGGACACTGGACAAACGGCCCAGGAACAGCATGGGCAGGTAGGATCCCCATGAGCAGCAAGGAAGTGCTCTCCCCGCTCTACACTTCGAAGTCTTTCTCATGCTTGACCTCTTCTGCTGCCTTCTCAAAGGCAAGGTATTCACTGAAGTGGGACCAAGTAAAATGGTGCAGATACTTGAAGTTCCACAGGTCATAAAGGAAGCTGCTGCATCTGTGGGTACCCATGGGAGTATTGTGCAGACTGGCTGTTACCCTCTTGGCCACGCGCTTGTCGCTTATCACCAAACGCCATCCAGCCCTTGGTATAGTCCTTGCTGTACTTGGATTGCTTTTTTCCTCCAGAGTCTATTGCCGCCGCCTTCTTTTATCTCACAAACTGGTTCTCAGCCTGGAAGAAAAAGTGCCCAACCTCCCAGGAGGCACTGAGCAGGTTGTGGACATGCAGGGATCGGAAGCACAGCAGGACGCAGCATCACCTGTTTCTCSCTGCAAGCTGCTTCTTCGGGTTCCTCTTGCTCTTCCTCTGCCTGTTTTCTGGTTTAGCTTTTCCAGTGGCCCTCCTTCTGAAGTTGCCTAGGTCTCCTCAGGCTCCATGCTGATGATATGACAGCCTTAAAGCCTCCTATACATATTCTGAAAAGGAATGAAACTCCCAGCAAATGGGTCAACTGGATAAAAAGAAAATTAGAACAACATGTTTAGTCCTCTTGGGCATGTGCATAATACATTAGCTTCCATAATTCTATTTCCTTTCTTACTTGCCTCCTTTACCTACCATTCCTTTCTGCCCCAGAATCACCTATCCCTTCCTTGTGGCATCATGTGTGAAAAGTGGGTTAGGCCAGCTGYTTATAATTCCAGAGAGTTATCATTATAGGGTTTCCTATTAGTTCAGTGGTCCTCTATCATTTGTAAAATGGCTTAGGTGATATCAAGGTTCTGTGAAGTAATTGAAGTGTTTGGAAGCATCAAAGTGAGGGAGATATAGAAGGGCTTAGGCAGCAAGACAAAAGGGTGAGTGGAAGGTCAGGGGCAGAACCAGAACCAAGTAGCATGGAGAAGGTCTTTATTGAGTTAAAAAATAAATAAAGATAGACCTTTATTTATTTTTGTATGTGGTGCTGAGAATTGAACCCAGTGCCTCACACATGCCAGGCAAGTGTGCTACTGCTCAGCCTCAGCCCCAGCTCCAGCCTATGGAGAAGGTTTTCTAATGAGGTCCTCTTCCTGGTTGATGAAAGTGCTCACAGGGACCCAATAGAACACTTTTGTACTCTTAAGTGGGGAGTGCCCCTAAATGGGGAATTCAGTTAAAAAAAAAAAAAGAAAGAAAGAAAACAGGTGCATGGACATACTAATCAATAACAGTGGGGCTGGGGATGTGGCTCAAGCGGTAGCATGCTTGCCTGGCATGCGTGCGGCCCGGGTTCGATCCTCAGCACCACATACCAACAAAGATGTTGTGTCCGCCGAGAACTAAAAAATAAGTATTCAAAATTTTCTCTCCTCTCTCTCTCTCTCTTTAAAAAAATAAAATAAAAAATAAATGCTGCTTAAATGGTTTTTAAAAAATAAAATAAAATAAAAAATAACAGTGGAGAAAGTATGGACAGGGAAGAGATAAGGAAAGGAGAAAATTTCAGGGACCATTAAAGAACAAGCCAAAACTCCTCTAGCAGACTCTTGGCTCTGGGCGCCTTCTCTTTGGAGAAGTTTGTCTCTGTCCCTTTTGCAGTAAACCTGCTTGCTTACTATCTCTGTGTCCTGTTCTTCAATTCTTTGCTGAACAGAGACAACAAATCCAGCACCTGTGGATGGTAAAAAAAAAAAAAAAAAAAGCATCAGAATTGGGCTAAACTATACTGTACTCAAAACTCAGCCATCACCCTCCCAATACTGGAGATTGAACCCAGGTATTCTTTATGACTGAGCTATATCCCCAGTCCTTCCTTCTTTCTTTCTTTCTTGGACAGGGTCTTACTAAACTGCTTTAGGACCTCACCTCCTCAGTTGCTGGGATTACAGGTTGCACCCCTGGTCCCAGCCCAAAAATCTTTTATTACAGTTTGTAGTTTTTTTTTTTTTTTTTTTTTTTTTTAAATCAAAATGGAAAGTGGTCTCTGAATCCTACTCATGGTAGTAAGAGCGAACCCCTAAGGTGCCTTTCTGGGCTAAGAATGAAAAAAAAATAAAAGAAATTCTACCCTAACAGAACTTTGGTACTAGGGATTGAACCGAAGTTCGCATTTGTGACAAACTGAGTGAGAGTGAAAGTGTGCTAAAATCTTTGGGACTGCTATCACATAGCAGCCACTTATCTGAGATTACTATATCATATGTAGAATGATCCACTGACTTGAAAGAAGCAAGGTCAGGTTGGTATTTGTGTAGCTTATTTCCCCAAAACTTAATGAGTATATATTAATGGTTTTCCTTTGACRTTCCCTCCAGAGATTTGCTCTGTATTCATAACCATCAGTTAGAAGGGTTTCCCACCACGCACGGTAGCACATGGCCTGTCATCCCAATGGTTCAGAAGGCTGAGGCTGGAGTATTGCAGGTTCAAAGCCGGTCTCAGCAACTTAGCAATGAGGCTCAAAGCAACTTAGTGAGACCTTATCTCAAAATAAAAAGGGCTGGGGATGTGGCTCAGTGGTTAAGTGATCCCTGGGTTCAGTCCCTTGTTGCCACCCCCCCCCCAAAAAAAAAAAAAGCAAAAGAAATTTGTTTCCCATCTGGGCAGAATGTATATTTTGGGGCCCCATCACCTCTTGTCCTTTTTGAAGCATCATGCATTCCTGGGTATCTTAGAGTAACTAGGCTCTTGCCCATAGGACTTCAGGGACCTTGACTTGAAACCTTGAAGAGTGGTTTATGATTATCTTTCTTGTGTTGCCAGCTTTGAACATGACTGATCACAGTAAGACAAGGAGTCTCTTACTCAAGATGAGACCCCTAAAATAAGGGTGGTTGGATTTGGAGAAAGGTATCATAGGTTAGCTGCCTACTTGGAACACTTTAGGAGCCCCCACATAGGAGAGGGAGCTGCCTAGGTATGTTCATGCAACAGTATTCATTATAGAGCCTAGGGAGCCATGCAAGATGATAGATGCTCTTGGTCCCAGGAACAGGCCTGCTGAAAACAGAAAGGCCACTGCTGATAAGAGACAGACACTGCACCCTGGAAGCATTTATTAGGAGCCAGTCAAGGTTGGATGTTTCTGACTGAACACCCATGGGATATGAATGTGGCAGGAGAATGGTATTTGGCAGGGAGTGAAGGTGCTCTACCATTCTGAAATCAGAAAAGTTGTAAAGATTAGGTATTAGTATATATCAAACTGATATTATACATGACAGTGATTCAGTAGACATTGTAGAGATTCTGAGTGATATACCCTATGGCAGAGGTTGTAGTTGGAAGAGATCATTAGCCATCAACTTTAAGTAAGAAACATTTACAAAGTGAAATTTGTGCTGCAAAAACCTAAGAAAAGAAAGGTGTTTCAAGCATTGGTACTAGAGATTTAACCAAAAACTTTCAAGTGTTTGGAAGCATCAAATTGAGGGAGTTAAAGAAGGGTGCAGCAAGGCAAGATGGTAAGTGAGGAAGTAAGGGGCAAGACCAGAAACAAACACTTGCAATCCTCCTGCCTCAGCCTCCTGAGCCACTGGGATTAGAGGCATGTGCCACTATGCCTGAACATACACCAGCGAAACCCCTGGGGCCTCAATGAGCCAGTGAGCAGAGTATTAAATATCAAATCTACTTCTGGAAGAGGTGATAGAACTGGCTGCATTGCTGAACAGTGTGAAAGGAGACCTCTGTTCAGAGCCCAGGCATCACCCTACTATGGGAGGTAGAGCATATTCCCAAATGTGAAAGGAGTACTTCCCTACCTTATGTGATATACTCATTCAGCCATTTCTTGAACAATAAAGGCAGAGCCATAGACCTTTCCTGTGATTTCAGCTCTTGCCTAACACTAGGTATGTTGGTGGTGGTATGGTTTTGTGTTTTTTTTTTTTTTTTTTATGACTTTTGTTGTTGTTGTTGTTTGCTCTGCTACTGAGCTACATCCCCAGCCCCTTTTTATTTATTTTGAGTTGCCAAGGCTGGCCTCAAATTTAGGATTATGCTGCCTTAGCCTCCTAAGTCCCTAAGATTACAGACATATGCTACCACACCTGGCTTTGTATCTTTTTTTACAAACTCAAACACTTGTTTCAGTGTTTCCACACTGGGGGAGAGTGAGGAGGTGACATGAAATAAGAAAATGGTTTGAATGAATGTGTATTAAGAAAAGTTACTCTGGGGGCTGGGGATGTGGCTCAAGTGGTAGCGCGCTCGCCTGGTATGCGTGCGGCCCGGGTTCGATCCTCAGCACCACATACCAACAAAGATGTTGTGTCCGCTGAGAACTAAAAAATAAATATTAAAAATTCTCTCTCTCTCTCTCTCTCTCTCTCTCTCTCTCTCTCTCTCTCTCCCCCCCCCTCCCTCCCCTCTCTCACTCTCTCTTTAAAAAAAGAAAGAAAAGTTACTCTGGTGGTTTTCCTGTGTGCTTTGTTAACCTGGTGAAATATTATTTACAGTTTGATTTCCTGTCTACCCACTTTGTTTCCTTCTGTAATGTTATTTATAATAAAATACTTATAAGCTACAAAGGTATTTTGATCAGACATTTTGAATTGTGCCACTTTATTTAAACATGTCCTTTACATTTGAGTTTAAGTCTCATAAAATGAATACTTCTGTATTTTATTATTTGGAATGATATGTTCAAATGTACTGTGATAAACATTATTTTTTCTTAAAATAGGTAGTGGGATTAACTTTGCACTCCTGTGGTTGTTTTTCCTATCACAGGTAGAGTTGGCTTTGTGGGACACGGCTGGGCAGGAAGATTATGATCGCCTGAGGCCCCTCTCCTATCCAGACACTGATGTTATACTGATGTGTTTCTCCATTGACAGCCCTGATAGTTTAGGTGAGTGATCCTACAGCTTAATGTTTGTCACTGCCCATTTATGTGGCAGGCATGTCTTTTTTTTCAGTTTTTTTCTGAGCATCAAGTTGTTGAAAAGCAGACATGAACTGCAGAGGAGTGGAGTCATCATGGCCAGAAACCTGGAGCCTTGGCAGTATAGAGGTTGGGGTTATGAGTCCTTTTTCAGCCTAGGTCTCCAATAGGTATTGTGCTTTTTTTTTTTTTTTTCCTTCCTTTACAATTCTGGGGGTTGCATGGGATCCAGAGCCTAGCACATGCTAGGCAAGTGCTCTACCACTGATCACCACCCCTAGCCCTACTACTATTGTATCCATCTGTCTAAGATTTGGAGAAGATTTTTGGTTGCCTCTGTTATTTTATCAGTGCTTCCTATTTAATTATTTGCCTGCCAACATCTCAATATCTTGGCTGCTAACTTTGCTTTTTCTTTCTTTCTTTCTTTCTTTTTTTTTTTTTTTTTAGGTACTGGGACTTGAACCCATGTGGGTCTTGAACCCACTGAGTTACATATCCAGTCCATTTTAGTTTTTAATTTTGAGACAGGATCTCGCTAACTTGCATAGGGCCTCAATAAATTGCTGAGCCTGGCCTTGAACTTGCTTACCATCCTTATGCCTCAGCCTCCCAAGTCACTGGGATTACAGGCATGCGCCCGATATGCTCTTTCTTTTTTAAAGCCATGTCTGTTTCTTTCCTAAAAGCTCTATCTTTGCCCTTAAGTGTCTTAGTTGGTAATAAGAGACTTCAGCCTGACCATTTCACTAGCACAGGTGGCCACATACTTCAGAAAAAGCTTTTATACTTTAGAAAAAGACTAAGTAATACTGGCTTCATGCTGTGAACCAAAACTGAAAAATTTGCTTTTAGTTTGTACTAAAGATTCTGTGATATTTTAACTTGGTGCTACAGCATTATCATGACAAGGCAGCAGGTAGGCCTAGGGATATTGGGATTATTAACGGCAAACAGGTTTTTAAGGCCTGGTGGTTGCTTGAGTATTTATGGTTAGGATGATTGTGCTTTTGTCATTATTGTCCCCACTTTAATGATAATACTAGGTCATTTAAGACATTGAGCCTCTTGTTCAAGGTCATGAATTGAGTCCCTTAGGCAGTGTCTGCCAGGACTGAGAAACAGCAGGTAGTCCCTGCTGCCATTGGTCCATTTAGGTCATTTTGAGCAGTTTCATTTTTAGTTTTGTGGTTGTTTTGGTTTGGTGGTACAGGAGAGTGAACCAGAGATACTATTCCACTGAGCCACATCCCCAGCCCTTTTTTTATAGGGGTCTTGCTGAGGTTGGCTTTGAACTCGCAATCATCCTTCCTCAGCCTCCCAAGCCTCTGGGATTACAGGCGTGTACCACCGTACCCAGCTCTTTTTTATTTAGAGACAAGGTCTCACTAAAACCCAGACTGGCTTCATACTTGCAGTCCTCCTGCCTCAGCATCTCAAGTTGGTGAGTTTACAGGTGTACACCACCACACCTGACCTAATTTGGTTTATAGACTAACCTGGCTTCCTTTCAGGGACTGCAAAAAGACCCTGGAGACTGGAGGCAGAGCTTTAGATCATATAGAAAATGGAGTTATTTGGCATCTCAGACACATGCATAAAGGTCTTAAACTAAATGCTATGGGAATGAGGAGGACTTTGGTTTCTCATCATCCAGAATATAATTCTTTAAGGACAAACTACCTTCAGAACAAAATATTGTTCCTCTTCTGTCTCTGTGGCAGTGGTACATGCCTATAATCCTCGTAACTCCGGTGGTTGAGACAGAAGTATCCAAAGTTTGACACCAGCCTCAACTACTTATCAATACTGTGTCCAAAAAACAAAATAAAAAGGCTGGGGATGCCTGGCATGGTGGCACACACCTGTAATTCCAGTGGCTCAGGAGGCTGCGGCAGGAGGACCACTAGTTCAAAGCCATCCTTAGCAGAAATCGAGGCACCAAACAACTCAGTGAGACCCTGTCTCTAAAGAACAAAAAATAGGACTGTGGGGGCTGGGGTTGTGGCTCAGTAGTAGAGCGTTCACCTGGCACGTGTGAGGCCCTGGGTTTGATCCTCAGCACCACATAAAAATAAATAAAGTTAAGGAATTTTGGGGGTTTGTTTGTTTTGTTTTTCTTTTTTGGTGCTGGGAATTGAATCCAGGGCCTTGTGTGTAAGGCAAGCACTCTACCAACTAAGCTACATCCAAATAAATAAAATAAAGGCATTCTGTCTAACTACAATTAAAAAATAAATGGCTCGGGCTGGGGATGTGGCTCAAGCGGTAGCGCACTTGCCTGGCATGCATGCGGCCYGGGTTCCATCCTCAGCACCACATAAAAACAAAGATGTTGTGTCTGCCGAAAACTAAAAAAAAAAAAAAAAATATTAAAATCTCTCTCTCTCTTAAAAAAAAAAAAAAGATTCCTTTTGTCTGGCTTTCTAGGATTCTCAAAGGCCATCTAGAAGTATAAAGTGATTTGACCTGATATGATCAGATTTCTATTGGGGGTGGGGGGGGATTGGTTATAGGGGATTGACATACTGAAGTAAAGGTTAAAAAGTTTGAAAATTATTCATCAAAAGGGCAATTCAGCTGGGCACGGTGGCACACGCATGTCTGTAAGCAACTCAGTGAGACTCTGTCTCTAAATAAAATACAAAATAGGATTGGGAATGTGGCTCAGTGGTTGAGTGTCCCTGAGTTCAATCCCTGGTACCGTGCCCCTCAAAAAATTGGGGGGGGGAGGTGCAGAATTCATTCTAATTTTATGTGCCCAAAATTCCAGGAGCAGGATATAATTTCATATATTTAACAAGTAATTATTGAGCATCTACTAATAGAATTTATACAGAAGGGAAAACAAAAAAGACAAAGGGGGGAACAAGTGGCCAGGCATGTAATCCCATGGACTTGGAAGGCTGAGCCAGGAAGTTCTTGAGTTCAAAGCTAACCTCAGCAGTTTGGCCCTGGTACCAAAAAAAAAAAAAAAGAAGAAGAAGAAGAAAGGACAACAAGCTGGTTTCAGTGGACATAGTCCTCCCAGTGGTGGGAGGCTGAGAATAGAATATTTGCAAGTTTGAGGCCAATCTTAACACCTTAGCAAGACTCTTTTTTAAATTAAGGAGGATGAGGATGTCACTCAGTGGTTAAAGTGCCCCTGAGTTCAACCCTTGGTACCAAAAAAAATTCTAAGTATAAAATAAAACATTACAAAACACATTGAGGGGCTGGGTTTGTGGCTCAGCGGTAAAGTGCTTGCCTAGCATGTGTGAGTCCCTGGGTTCGGTTCTCAGCCCCACATATAAACAATAAAATTGTGTATTGGGTCCAACTACAACTAAAAGATATATTAAAAAATAATTTGATAGTGTTGGACCATGGTGATCTGCTATTTTAAAAGGATGATCAATTGCAATAACACTGAAAAGATGACCTTTAAGCAGAGATTGAAAGAATAAACTATTCACTCTCCTACTTCAAGACAAATAACTAAAAGGCAGACACTATTTAGAATATGGAAAGAAGGTTTGTCTTTTCAATGAAAGACCACAATAGGTAGAAAAGTCACATTAGTAGAAAAATTTTTATAATTCATTGTTCTATGCTTTTGAGAAGCAGGAGTTGAAGGAGGCTCATATAGATATCCAACAAAAGGACTTTCTAGGTAGAGGGGAAAGCAGGCACAGAGTCTCCAAGACATGAGACAGGAGGAGGAAGGAAGGAATACAGTACTGCTATAGCAGAGGAGATGGGGCTAAGGGTAAAGACCTCTCCTTTCATCAAGAGTAAGGTGGGAACCTGGGCCTGGTGGCACATGCCTGTAATTCCAGTGGTTAAGGTGGTTGAGGCAGGAGGATCACATGTTTGAGGCCAGCATCAGCAACTTAGCAAGACCCTGTTTCAAAGTTTAAAAAAAAAAAAGGTCAGGGATGTTGCTTAGTGGTTAAGCGCCTCTAGTTTCAATCCCTGGTACACATTCACCCCATCTGTCCCCCGCCAAAAAAAACCAAAAAGGTTGAATTAAGGAAGTGATGTAATCTCACCTTTTAAAGGTATCACTATGGCACCTGAACTGACCACAGATGCAGGAATGAGAATAGGGTTCATCCAGAAACTATTTGGTTTCACGTTAGATGTGCTGGCCCTTTTCTCATTATTGCTCTAAAAGCTGGGATGCTACAGTTCTTTGGGAATCTCTTTGTTCAACAATAAAATTATTACATTTATAATATAATTGACTCTGTAGCTCCTGTAGCAAAGGAAGCAATTGAACATCTATCTTGAATGCTGAAAAATGGAGCATTGGTTTATGAGATTTTTCTGTCCTCACTTGTGTTACTTCTCTACCTTACAGTCTTTCATCCAGAAGTCCAGAAGACATAGCATCTTTCCATTTTCTAAATAGCCCTTTCCTTTTGGTAATTTTGTCTTGGAAATCAGAGAGTAAATAGTTTATTTTTAAAATAGTCTCCGATAACAGGTACACTTTGAATGATTATCATACTAAGAACATTATATGTATTGACTCAAAGTAACCTTATATATGGTAATTATTATTGTCATCTCAATTATAAAATTATCCTTAACACTGAGATGACTAAGGTGGCATAGGAGGTTAAACTTAGACCCTTCATCCATCATAAAGTATATACAACCTTTTTTTTTAAAACATATTTTTAGTTGTCAGTGGACCTTTATTTATTTATTTACTTACTTACTTATTTAATTGCGGTGCCGAGAACTGAACCCAGCACCTCACACATGCCAGGCAAGTGCTCTTCCATTGCGCCCCAGCCCCAGCCCTGTACAACCTTTTTAAATTAGAATGATACAGTTTTGGAAAGAAATTACAGCTAGTATTACAGTTATTATTATTTTGTTGTTATTTTCAGTCATTTTTCATACTTGGGTATGGTAGCACATTCCAGGTACTTGGGAGGTTGAGGGAAGAGAACCACAATTTGAGCCCAGCCTGGTCAAAAAAAAAAAAGTGAGACCCTCTCTCAAAGAAATATAAAAAATAAAAAGGGCTGGGGATGTAGCTTAATAGTAGAGCACTTCCTATCAAGTGCAGGGTTCTGAGTTTAATTCCCAGTATTGCCAATATCATTCTTTTTTTTTTTTTTTTTTTTTAAAGAGAGAGAGAGGAGAGAGAGAGAGAAAGAATTTTTAATATTTATTTTTTAGTTCTCGGCGGACACAACATCTTTGTTGGTATGTGGTGCTGAGGATCGAACCCGGGTCGCACGCATACCAGGCGAGCGCGCTACCGCTTGAGCCACATCCCCAGCCCAGCCAATATCATTCTTGAGTCATTTGAAATACCAGTAAATCTGTGGGGTGGAGGTTATGCTTTGAGCATGTGAGCAAGATAGAACTGGGCCAGTTAGAACCCCAGAATGGGGAAACCTTCTATAAGCTGGGGTCTGAATTCATCTGCTAGCAATGATAGGCATGGCCAGTGAGGATCTCTCAGGGACAAGTCATACCATGTGACACCAACCTATGTTTTGGATCTTTTGCTCCTCCAGTGTCCTTACTTGGGCCCCACCTGCAGAGGAATGCAACACTTTTTGAGTGTGTGTGTGTGTGTGTGCGCGCGCGCACACACACGCTGCTAGGGATTGAATCCATGGCCTTGTGCGTGTGAAGCAAGTGGTTTAGAAACTAGTAGGTGTGTGTTCAAAATACTTCTCAAAGGTAACTAGGGCTTTTGGAGATTCTTCAAGATGGAATTTGTATCCCCAAATTCTGTGCATTTTTCTTTCAGAAAACATCCCAGAGAAATGGACTCCAGAAGTCAAGCATTTCTGCCCCAATGTACCCATCATCCTGGTTGGGAATAAGAAGGATCTTCGGAATGATGAGCACACAAGGCGGGAGTTAGCCAAGATGAAGCAGGCATGTTCTAGGATAGGGTTTTGTCTTCCTATACTTGGGCACCTGGCAGAAACCCTCAAATAAAGTTGTTTAGAGAGACCCAGAAATCCTTCTCTATCTATTTGGACTTCATTGACTGGTGCCTGCATAGAAGAACCCTGAGAAAGTCTTGTGAAATGAAATGTGTCTCTCCCCTTTCTCTTGCAGTGCTCACCAAGCATTCTGCTGCAGAGCTACATCCATCCTTGGAATGTCTTTTTTTTTTTTTTTTTTTTGGAACTAGGGATTGAACCCAGGGTGTTTAACTACTAAGCTACCTCCTCAACGCTTTATTTTTTATTGATTTTTGAGACATGGTCTCACCAAGTTGCTGCTTGAGGCCTTGCTAAATGGTCTAGGCTGGCCTCAAACTTCAGTTCTTACCATTTCAGCTTCCTAAGTTTCTGGGATTTCAGGTGTGCATCATCATGCCCAGCATGGAATCTCTATTTTGAGGAGCTTGTGCCCCTGAGGACTATCAGCCTGGGAAGAAAACATTCCAACAGTACCCAATGCCTCAAATATAAGACCTTTGTCAGGCTTTTTCTTTTTCTTTTTCTTTTTTTTTTTTTTTTGAGAGAGAGAGAGAATTTTTTTTTTTTTAAAGAGAGAGTGAGAGAGGAGAGAGAGAGAGAGAGAGAATTTTTT